GATTATTTGCGTTCCAAATTTTGCAAAACTTCCCAGGATTTATGTTTTTGTAAATGCTTACTGCAAGACTTCTATTGTTGTGAATACTTATGCAGGACTTCTGTTGCTGTAAATGCTTATCGCATGACTCCTATTGTTGTGAATGCTTATTGTAGGATTTCTATGGCTGTGAATGCATGTTGGATTATATCCGATACTTATGGTTGATCTTAATATGAATCGTGTGCATATGGTTTATCTATCATTGCTTATTTGCCTTGTCTAATAAGGAATACAGCACATGTGTAAGATCATAATGAATCTGTCTAGTAGCATATATTAGAATATATGAAATCAATATGTCAAAATCCTGCTTTATATGCATTCTTTTAGAAAATATCTACATTCACTTGCTGAGTAGCCAAACTCATTAAACTATGATATATATTTTTTTAGAATAATCGTAGCAGGAGGCGTTTGGAAGAAGAAGTTTGTAGTTATGAATACATTCTCCTATGTAACTTTTGTCTATCAAAGTTGTATATATATATATATATATATATATATGGACCTCGGGTTATTATTACAAATTGTGAAATAAACTTTGTACAAAAAGCTTTTAAATGGAAAATTTGTTTTGAAGCAATATATAGTAAAAATTTCAAATTTGTTTTGTTCTTTATAAATAAACTGTCACATCTCAGGAGTTTTAGTGTTATAAACTTGAGGTGTGACATTAAGTCTCTCGAATGCCCGACTGCTCAACAATATCAAGCTCTCCTTATGGCATTGGCTATTAGTCACCAAGGTGGTGTGAGGCATTTCTCTCCCAGATGTTATGCTAAATCTACCTAATCTTTTCCTGCTGGGTAAAATCAAGATGAGACCACGGAGCTTTTGGTTACCAATCCTGGTTTAGCTAGTAGTGGGGGGGTCTTGCACAATAGTTTGGGGGAGATTATCTTCTCCTATGCTGGCTCCCTCGGCACAACCACAGCTAATCATGCGGAGCTTGTTTCGTTATTGCAAGGTTTAAAACTTTTCATCTCTAAAAACCTTGGCTGTAGTTGTATTATTGAAGGTGACTCCTTAAATGTGATTGGCTGGTGCAAGAAGGAACGGCGTATCCACTGGAAGCTTAGGTCTACTTGGATGGAAATCATAGACCTTTCGGCCTCCCTCTTGATTTCTTCTAATTCTATGGCTGATTCCCTTGCTAATGGTGGGGCTTTTTTTCCTTCTTTGTTGTTCTCTTCCGATGTAATCTCTTTTGATTAACCGCTTTAATAAAATTTTGAAAACTTTGCCAAAAAAAAAAGACTATAGGTCACCATATCTTTTGTTACTAGTTAAATCCATATCCTTTTAAGCCTTCAACTGGCCTTTTTAGAGTTTTCTACTTAAACCAAATCACCTCGCCTAACAAGTTGCATGTGGCTAGACCACTTAATTATAGTTTCTCCTATCTTATCACCTATTGGAGTCATCCTTAAGTTCCCTCGGATGTACTCATTCTAAATTTTATCCTTTCTTGCCTTGGCTAAAACCATCTTAACGTCATCATCTCAGCTATATCTATTTTATGAATATGTTGTTGCTTAACCATCTAACATTTCATCCTGTAAAGCGTGACGCGATAGCTTCATCAATCTCTCCATTTTCATAGATTATCAATCCAATATATCGAAAATACTCTCTTTTAGTTACTTATTGGTAATCAAATTTAACTAATTCCTTGTTTCCACTCATACTATTACTAACCTTGCAATCCAAATATTATCTTAGTCCTGCTAATCTTAAAACCTTTTGATAGTAGAGCATCTCTCTAAAGTTGAAATTACGTATTGATGCCCTCACTAGTCCCATTAATCAAAATTATGTCATTCGCAAACAACAAACACTGCAATACCTTATCCTGTAGATACCTAATTGACTCCTCCATAACCGAAACAAAGAGATACTGACTCAACGCTGACCCCTAATATAGATCTATTATGTCACTATAAATTTACTTACCACTCCACTAGTCATCCTCACACTAGTTAGTGCTCCTCGTGTACCTCTTACCATGTCAATGTATCCTCTAAATATTCTTTTCTTTTTCAATGCCCTCCAATTAACTCTATAAGTACCCTATCGTATGCTTTTCCAAAATTAATATATTTATTTTCCTTGATTTTCTAGTTATCACCACATTAGAAAGTAAGAAACGTTACATAGGAAAAGAAACGTTACATAGGAACTTGAAAAAAGATGCATTATTACCGCATCAGTCATATTTTACGCTATTTCAGCTATAGGTTCTCTATTTTTCAGTTTTTATTTTTATTTTTTCTATTTTGCAAGCCGAACTTTTGAATTGCCAAAAATATAGAAAGATTGATATATTTGAGTACATCTAAAAAAAAAAAAAAAAGCAAGAAAGGAAAAATAACTAAGTGTTGAGCGGTTCAAAATTGGAATTCGAATTATCCAAGTGCATCATTTGTTAGTGTTTTTTTATGGCTTGAAAGTCAGAATTTTGAACACAGGCTACAATGGAAATAAAAAAACTCAAAAAAGTCTTACCTCAACGTAACATAGCACAAAATATTGATCATGCGCATCTTATTTCATGTCTACACATAAAATTTCCGAAAACTTACAACTTATACCACATGTGTTTAATGCTAGCAGGAGGGCTTCGGTCCACGACCAATGGTGGTACACATGCAATATTAGTTTCTTACTTAATAGCTTTGTGCCATTCTATTAGTTCTGTATTGTACAGAAGACTCTCCATACTGTAACCATGCAACCACTTCCACTTCGACCCAGCTTGAAAGCCCAGCTTCTAACAAATGACCTAATTATCTGGCTATGGCGTAGTTTGGGTACAAAGCCCACAAGCTGTGAGCCACATAACTGACTTCCAAATCTCCTATACCTTATCAAATACATTTTAGCTGAAGTCTCCAAATGACCCAGGAAAAGATATCGTTGTCAAAGCTTGAAGATACAGCCTCAGCGTTCCCTGAAGAATCATTTCTTTTCCCTGAGGGCCGGGCTACGGCTAGGGCTGCCTGGGCACATTGCCAGGCCCACTAAGTACTAGTTTATTTTGTAAATAGTTTATTTTGTAAATCCCTTTTCTTGTTTTAAGATAACATGAGCTACGCCAAGTCAATTTTTTTAATACTAACAAACATCGTTTAAACAAAATTGTACATGAGTTCCGCTTCTTGGAGGGCATGCATCCAAAACTGTACATGGGTTTGGCTTCGTGGAGGCATCCAAGGCTTGAAGGACTCCCAACTAAACTTGGCAAGGTACAGAATAACTTACAAAATCTAAAATGAGGTCTTTTAGGCTGTTCACTGCACAATGCACAGCACAGTGAGCATATAGTTATCATGTCGTAAGGCAACAGAGGTCGATGATTTTGAATAGGTGAAGAAAACCTTGACAAAGATGAAAGCCGAGCAGTATTGCAAAGATAGCAAGAACCACAGCACAACCAATCTTCAAGGATTTCGGTACTCGCAACGGATGGGGTTTAGTGATGCCTCCACTTGAGTTGGCGTCTACATTGTCATTCCTAGTGCCTAGTCTCGGCTCCACCATGCCTCTCTTGTTGCTGCTTTCTGAGTCAGAATCGGGTATTTCTGAGTCAGAATCGGGTACATGTATCATTCAAGACACGGGCTGCATGTCTCTCTCAAGAACTTCTCTCTCCTCCAAAGGATCAGCATCCACTATTCTCTCCTCCAAAGGATCACCACTCATAGCCCTCGTTGGGCTTCCATGAAGAACTTTCTTCTTGGCATGAAGTTGCACAGGTTGAATTAATTTGATTTGGGCACCACATGGGTAGCTCTCATGTTGCAGACCTTCCTCAACTTCTGCAGCTTGCAGACTTGTAACTGGAGGTGCATCTTTCACTTGCACTGACATCTCTGCATTTCAAGTATCAGACCAGTTAGACACTAATCTACCAGGAAAAGCTGGCTGCCAAAAAGAAGAATCACTTCTTTTGATTTACCAAAATAGCCAACTACTCTGTCAAGCAAAAATTTACCAACCACTCAGTCAAGCAAAAATTTACCAACCACTCAGTCAAGCAAAAATTTATCTCAGGGACCTCATTTGGGGAAATCGAGAAGGCCAACATAAGAAACACCATTCTGGATCAAGGATTCATCTCACGTCAAACACAGTTTGTTTACTTAACAATTTTTGGCACCTACATATGCACAATCTCTTTGAAGTGCGCATAAAAACTAAGGGTTAACAATGAAAATAAAACAACCTAGAGATGGCATTAGTCCCTCCTTGGTTAAAATGAATGTTGTGATTTGGAGAGTACCAGTCTCATCCTCCAAGCCCTGGAGCACAGCAGCTAAAGTGCCACTATCCTTCTCTCTCCTGCACAGTGAATTAGAACACAATTAAGTAACCATTTTGAAAAGATAAAAATAGTTTCAAATGAAGTACAGCGGGGATCTTCAGCTCCTTTCTAATTCGTTGATTTCATCACAGAGAAAGTATGATACATTGAACAATGGAAATATGCAGCCCTAGCTCATTAGAATCGTCCAATAACACGAACAGCGAGTAGGACCCAGCATTGGGGAAAGCCAATATCCTGACTGGTTGTGCCCCATTCTCTCTCCATCAGCCCACATTATTTCATTATTGTTTCGTTATGACCCAACAGTCCATTGAGTATATAATAGTTCAATAGAAACTTGGATTAAAGAATACATTCACCAAGAAACAGACACCAAGTTGAACTTAGGGCATGTACAGACCCTTCACCTCCGCCGCCATCTTTAAAACTCCCCAATGATTTTATGCATGGAAAATGAAACATAATCCAATGGATTATGTAAGATGATAGCCATATTTCTTTGCTCGTGAAATGATGGACAACAATGAAGAGAGAGCAGGACCCACCTCAGGGCCGCTTCCCGTTAAGTGTGCTACATTCTCTCTCCATCACTGCCCATTTCATTGGACTGTGAAAAACCCAAGGAACTATGGCATATCATAGTCCATTGAATTTTCCTACTGAAGGTCCTGATCTCCTCTCGTGTTTCAAAGCATTCCCCCAAAATGCCCACTGTTTGTTGGCCAATCCACCTTAGTGCAGTTCCTGTGATTTGCGGATGAGAATACTAAGATCCAATGGACTACAAAGAACCATAGTGGTAGCTCCCTGCGTCATTGTCCAAAGAAATGATGCAGCAAGCTATGAAGAGAGGTGGATCCCCCTCTGGGGTCATTTCCTGTTCAGGTAGGATCTATTTACTCTCAATCGCCATCCATCATTTCACTAGGCATAGTCCATAACAGAGTCCATGATCATAGTATACTTCCCCAGAGAAAAGACAAATTTCAATTGAAGAGTTTGTAAAGGCTCTTGACCTGCTCTTTTCTGCCTCATGGAACGCTCCTCCAATACTTGGCTTTTGTAGGCAAATACTCCTTGATGCAGTGCCCTGGAATGGGAAAACGGGAGGGTTGTACCTAGGAACAGGTTTGACGCTCTTTTCTCACAATTCCAGTCTCACTATCACCTTTAATTGAAGTATTATGACCACCATTCCATTCTCCCATATGATTTTCATCAAAATTGAGAAGGTTATCAAAAAATTCATCACTTGAGACAGAAGAGGATCTGTGCGGGTTAACAACACTTAACCCATCCAAGTCCCCTGTGCTCGCTTCAAAACCCTTACCAGCAAATTTGCCAAGATTACTGAAAACGCTTGATGAGGGAGGCACGTGAATTGGTTTCTCGAGAACAAGTGGCTCGTAGTTGGGCACGGGAAACAAATCCAAGGCTTCCTGCTCCTTATCACCCTGGAGAAAGAGAACAAGATTTTCTATTACCAGCAGAACTGCATCATGTCAAATTGTTTCAGCAAGAGTCAGGACCAGAAAGCCGCAAAGAGGATTTGGTGACCAGATAAGTGAAGCTATTCCTATATATGAAACTAGTCCAACCACATTAAGAATAAAAAATTGAAGAAAGGAGCTGATCCAACAAAGAAAAGTTAAAATTAATATAAAAAACTAACCCGGCCCTACCTCCCTGAGAGGGCCAGGCTAGGTTTAGAGCTGGCTCGGCCCAGGCCGGGCACATTGCCAGCCCTACAGAGTGAGTCAAAATAACTCAAATCCAAATAAAAAGATCACTCATGGATTTTTCCAAGCAGTACCAGATCCTCATTGCCTGAGAAGGGCCTTGCACTAACATACCAACAAATAGCCATGTCGCTTCCAGTCATTGGGAAAGGACAATATTAGAAGACCAAGTCACTTCACCCTTAGGGAGAGAAAGCAATGAAAATAGATAAATCTCAAGAAAAGGGCAATTAAAGATCAGATAAAACCTCCTCATCATCAGAAATAGGAGTAAGAGCTGCAGCCATTCTGTAAATTTCAATGAGGAGAGAATGGCTTCCATGGGGATCTTAGTTCACCATGCAAATGTTTGGAAGTCCCAAATTTGGTTTCATTTATTGTCCAAAAAAAATGGTTTGATTCCACTCTAAGCACACATGACCTCCAAACAACAGAGTATTGCATGACAATTAATCACCATTAACTACATAATATTGGCCACATGGTTGAAAAAGCATTCCACTACAAACATCATGTAAACAAAACTGTACATGGGTTCGGCTTCTTGGAGGGCATGCATCCAAGGCTCGAAGGACTCCCAACTAAACTATGCAAGGTACACAAAAATATACAAAATCTAAAATTGAAACATTTTAAGGTTGTTCACCGCACAATGCACAGCACAGTGAAGGATATAGCTATCATGTCATAAAACAAAAGAGGTAGATGATTTTGAATAGGTGAAGAAAACCTTGACAAAGATGAGAACCATGATGACCAGTATTGCAACGATAGCAAGAATCACAGCACAACCAATCTTCAAGGACTTCGGTATTCGCAATGGATTGGGTTTAGTGATGCCTCTACTTGACTTGGTGTCGATTTCTTCTACATTGACATTCAGGGCGCCTAGTCTCGGCTCCGCCATGCCACTCTTGTTGCTGCTTTCTGAGTCAGAATCAGGTACATGTATCATTCTAGACATGGGCCACATGTCTCTCTCAAGAACTTCTCTCTCCTCCAAAGGATCAGCATCCACTTTTCTCTCCTCCAAAGAATCAATGCCCATGGCCCTCGTTGGGCTTCTACAAAGAACTCTCTTCTTGGCATGCTGACGCAGAGGTTGAATAAATTTGATTTGGGCACCACATGGGTAGCTCTCCTGTTGCAGACCTTCCTCAACTTCTGCAGCTGGCAGCAATCTAACTGGAGGAGTATCTTTCACTTGCACTGACATCTCTGCATTTCAAGTACCAGACCAGTTAGACACAAATCTACCAGCAAAAGCTGACTGCCAAAAAGAAGAATCACTTCTTTTGATTTACCAAAAGAGACAACTACTCTGTCAAGCAAAAATTTATCTCAGGGAATCCATTTGGGGAAATCAAGAAGGCCAACATAAGAAACACCATTCTGGATCAAGGATTCATCTCAGGTCAAACAAGGTTTGTTTACTTTACAATTTTTGGCACCTATTTATTCACAATCTGTTCGAAGTGTGCATAAAAAGTAGGGGTTAACAATGAAAATAAAACAAACTAGACATCGCATTAGTCCCTCCTTTGTTAAAATGAATGTTGTGATTTGGAGAGTACCGGTCTCATCCTCCAAGCCCTGGAGCACAGCAACTAACGTGCCTCCATCCTTCTGTGTCTCCTGCACAGTGAATTAGAGCACAAAATTAAGTAACATAAGGATAAGAACCTTAACCATAGAATCATTTCCAGTGAATAACCATTTTGAAAAGATAAAAACAGTTTCAAATGAAGTACAGCAGGGATCTTCAGCTCTTTTCTAATTCGTTGATTTCATCACAGGGAAAGTATGATACATTGGACAATGGATATATGCATCCATTGCTCATTACAATCATACAATGAAATGGACCGCGAGTACGACCCAGCATTGGGGGAAGCCAATATCGTGATGGTTGTGCCCCATTCTCTCTCCGTCAGCCCACATTATTTCATTGTTTCGTCATGACCCAACAGTCCATTGAGTATATAATAATTCAATAGATACTTGGATTAAACAATACATTGACCAAGAAACAGATACCGAGTTGAACTTAGGGCATGGGCATGTACAGACCCTTCACCTTCTCTGTCGTCTTTAAAACTCCCCCTTGTATACAAGCCATGTGTTGGCAAACCCTCCCCAGGGCAGTTCCAATGATTTTATGCATGGAAAACGAAACACAATCCAATGGATTATGGAAGATGATATCAATGTCTCATGAACTGATGGACAACGATGAAGAGAGAGCAGGACCCACCTCAGGGTCACTTCCTGTTAAGTGTGCTACATTCTCTCTCCATCACTGCCCATTTCATTGGACAGTCAAAAACCCAATGGACTCTGATACCAAAAATGAAGAAATGAAGAAGCAAAGAAGCAAAGGTCAAAATGACAAAAATGAAGAAGCAAAGAAGCAAAGCTCAAAATGACAAAAATGACGAAATGCCACTATAAAATAAAGAAATGCTATAAATAAAGAAGCAAATAAGCATAGCTAACAACTCAAAATGAACATATATATTTAAAGAGAAAACTTACATAGCACTTAGGTAGTAAGCACGCAGGTATTACAATTGTTGAGAAGGGGCAGAAACCAGAAGGCTTGATACACAACCAGATATACAATAGGAAAGAAGTATTACAGGGGAACAGAGAAAAAAGACTCAGAGAGAACGAGAGCACTTGAGAGAATATTACAAGACTCAAAAGTAAGAAGCTACAACTTGACGTGCCTTCAACAAGAGAGGTCGTCTCCTTTTATAGACGTTCATATTCGGTAGACTTAATGCTCTTTTAAGTCTGCACTGTAGTGTCGATGGACTTGAAATCTTTGAAAGTCGGCACAATAGTGTCGGTGGACTTGAAATCCTTTAAAGTCCGCACAGTAGTGTCGGTGGACTAGAAATCCTTTGAAGTCCGCACAGTATTTCTCTAATAGTCAACAATGCTACAATGTTTGCTACAGTGACCTCTGCTACAGTAACTGCTACTGTAGTTATAAACTATATTAACAGATCATGTTTCTATTAAAACCTTCTCATAATATTATCGGGTTTTTAAACCATTAGAAGGATGAATATAATCCTTAAGATATATGGCTGCAATATTAGCCAGAGAACTAAACTTGTGTCCATTTTCCACTACGATTAATGGAATTATTGTTGTGCGTATATAAGGTGTTTTTTCACCTTTAGATTTAGGATTTTGTATCCTTATAGGTTGAGGAGATATTTTAATCTCTTTTCTTTGAGCTTGTAATAAAGCTTTGGCAGATTTAGATGGTGATGGTGTTGCCAAGCATTTACTTGAGCTTAGGACGATCTCCATTGGCTATTTTCCTTTCCTCTCCACCCTGCAAAAATTCTCGAGTCAACAAGCAGGGAGAGAATTCGAATGGCCCGTTATATGTTCAATTGTAAAATCGAAGGCTGAAAGAATTGCTTGCCATCGAGCAAATATTTATTTGGAAACTAAATGTTTTACATCTTTTTTGAAAATCTCTTTAACAGATTCACAATCTATGCGGATTAAGAATTTTTTATTGAGTACGTCACTTTGAAATTTAGTGACAGTGAATAATGGCCAAAACTTCATTTTTATCTGAAGAATATTTCCACTGAGTAGGATTCCAAACTTTAGAAGTGAATCTAACCAATTGTTCTCTGTCTTGAAGTTTTTTTTTTTAAATTCCGCCAAATCCATTATCAAAAAGATCAATTTCAACTATTTTAAAGGCATTAGAATTAGAAAGGGCCAAGCATGGTAATTCCTTGGCTTTTAACTTAAGTTTCCAAACAACTTTTGTACGTTCATCAATCCAATCAGGAGGATTCTTTTTAGCCGTTGGAAAAGAGGTTTTGCGTCTAGGGCAAGATTCTTATAAAAATCAGATATGTAATTTAAACATCCGAGAAATCTTTGCTACTCTTTTTTGTCTTTTAGAACATCAAGAAATTTATCAGCAAATTGAATTGCCCTGTCAATAGGAAAAATTCTTCCTTGGTAAATATTGTGACCAAGAAATCTTATTTCAGTTTGAAATAACGCCATTTTCTCAATAGATAAGACCAGGCCAGCATTTTTAACTGCTTTAAGGAATATATTCAGGTGCTTCTAGTGTTGGTGGCCAGCATTTCTAACTGCTTTAAGAAATATATTAATGTGCTTCTAGTGTTGGTCAACAGTGCTGAAGAAAATTAACATATCATCAATATAAACAATCAGAAATTTAGTAAAAAGATTAAAAATATCATTTATTATATTTTGAAATTCTGAGGGAGCATTTTTAATCCAAATGGCATTACATTCCATTCATAATGCCCAAAAGGAACATTAAATGTTGTTTTATATCGATCTTTTTCAGCAATCTAAATTTGTCAGTAACCAGATTTTAAATCAAATTTTGAAAATATACAGGCGTCAATTAACCTGTCAAGAAGATCTTTTTTATTTTGGATTGGATATCGAATCCATCTTAAAGCTTTATTCAAAAGCTTGTAATTTATAACAAGTCTTGGAGCGCCTAGCTCAAGTTCAAAGGCCTTTTCCACATAAAAAGCCGATCAACTCCAAGGAGAAGAACTTTTTCTAATAAGCTTCTTATTAAGCAGATCTTGAATTTCAGTTTTACAAATTTCTAAAAGCCTACTATTCATTTGGATAGATCTAGCTTTAGTAGGAATATTTCTTTCATTAAAATCAGGTTCATACGAGAGTCCAACAATGTGTTGTTTTCTAATCCAAAAAGCATTTGGGATTGCAGCACAGACTTCCTTTTCTAGAAGGTTTTTAAAAGTACTAATATCGTGTTGGAGTTTTTGAAAAAAAAGTTTTTCTTCAACTATTTTATATTTGATTGCTTCTTTTAAAGAGAATAAGAATTTTTCTTTAGTAAGAATCTTATCTTTTATATTATTAATTTCATGAACTCTTGGTTTATCAATAAAATCAAACTTAACCTCGTGCTCTTCAATTTTTGCTTTAATTCCATTAATATCAATTTTAATTGGATAATGCATGTTTAAAAAAGGAATTCCTAAGGTAACAGGTTGACTTGATCCCTTTACTATAATGAAGGGAAAATTGAAACTGTAATACAGACCAAATTAGTATTTTATGAGGAGATATATAAAGAGGATATAACTAAGCAAACAATACATAAGAAGACAGATACATTAACTGCAAAGCAATAAGCTTAACATGCATAATAAAGGTAACACTTACATATGGCACTTGCAAAAACTTGAAAATAACTTCCACTCTTCTGGACAGAAACTTGGTAGAGACTCCCAGTTACAATCACACATATATATAATCTTCACACTCTTCACTCTTATAGATTCGGTATGGCTAGGTACACCACCCGATATACAGTAAGTAATATTTAAAAGAGAGAGATAATGCAGAGATTGCAGAGAGAGAACAGAGAGATGCAGAGGTTGCAGAGAGACAATAGAGAGATGCAGAGGTTGCAGAGAGACAACAGAGAGATGCAGAGGTTGCAGAGAGACAACGGAGAGATGCAGAGGTTGTAGAGAGATAACAGAGAGATGTAGAGGTTGCAGAGAGAGAACAGAGAGATGCAAAGGTTGCAGAGAGACAACGGAGAGATGCAGAGGTTGCAGAGAGACAACGGAGAGATGCAGAGGTTGCAGAGAGACGATGGAGAGATGCAGAGGTTGCAAAGAGACAACGGAGAGATGCAGAAGTTGCAGAGAGAGAACAGGGAGATGCAGAGGTTGCAGAGAGAGAACAGCGAGATGTAGAGGAGACTGAGGAAGAAAAATGTATCATTATTGTTATATTCAATGAATTTCTTTTGTGAGGCTTGGATATGTGGAGGTAATATTTCAGTTCCTGATCCCCATAATTGGAACCAGTTCTTCAACCAATTAGGGAACTCTTCTATTATAGGTATTTTTATTTGTACGAACCAAGTATGGGAATTATTATTATTCTGGAAGGAAAAAACTTTATGCCAAGCTTCCACATATTCAGCATATCGAAAATATTTATTATTGAACCCCTCTATTTGCAGTCTTCGGGGTTTTGATGAATCCATTCCCCATTCCTTATATGATATTATTTTTTGTATCTGGAACTTTGAGAATGCTATTATATTGGTATTTTTTCTGTATAAATGGACCATTGTAATTGATCCTGTTTCCAAGAGTATGGCTTCATACCATTCTCGAGTTTTATCATTATTGGATGGGTGTAGGTGATTATTCAAATTTATATTTGCTATTTCATATGGATCAATATTCTTATGATTTCCTGATATCGAGACTATGTCCATCTTTCCCTTCCCCTTGTTTGGTAATATTATTCTCCTGTCCAAATTCACGAGTTAAAAAGTCAGGAAGATAGTTAGTATTACCTTTAATATGTTCTAATTCAAGTCGAAGGAAGATAGTATACCTTCCCAACGTGCAAAAATTTGCTCAAATATAAGGTTTTTGACATCTTTTTGAAGGATATCTTTTACAGCTTTACAATCAGTTCGGATAAGGAATTTTTGGTTTAGTAAATAGCTTAGGAATATTGTTACACAGTGTACAATAGCCAAAATTTCTTTTTTAACTGTAGAGTAATTTTGCTGTGTCTAATTCCAAGCTAGAGAGGTAAAACGAACTAAT